TTGTTTCTGCTCCTTGATTGATTGAAACTTTATTCTTTTGTTGTTGTTGTTTAAAAACAATGAACAAGGAATCTTCTTGTTCTTTTACAAATACCCTTTGTCATATGTGAACAGAGGTATTAGCGTGAGCAGCAGCCATTACCTGAACATTTGTGTGAATAAAACCTGTTCACATGAGACGTGGCTAATAAAGGTTACAAACACAGGCAAACCAAACATGTTAGGGCTTGTCTATACTTAAAAAGCTGCAGTGGCACAACTGTAGCACTTCAGTGAAGACACTACCTATGCCATTGGGAGGATTTCTCCCGTTGGCATAGCTAATCCACTTCCCCGAGAGGTAGTAGCTAGATTGATAGGAGAATTCTCTTGTTGATGTAGCGCTGTCTACACTGCTGGTTAGGTCAGTTTAACTGCATTGTTTGGGGTGTGGATTTTTCACACCCCTGAGCAACGTAGTTATAGTGACCTAATTTCCTAGTGTAGACCAGGCCTTAGAATCTGAGCAAATGTTTAGGAACACTTTGCAGTCACTGACCCACAAAGCTTAGCACCATGAACCCAACTATGCAGGCCTTGCGGGGGTGGGGGAATAATACATTTCAGAAACTGTGATGAACTACATAATTGTGACTGTAGGGTGTAATGTCTTAATTTCTCTACTAGGGAAAGAAGCAAATGACTTATCCCATTGAAAGAGCAGGGATTCCTGGCTTTCTTGTCCATTTTGAGGCTTGCTGGATTGTGGGTTTATCAGTCCTAAAACCTCTCTGGAGTAACCTGTAAGTTGCTGAGTTCCTTTCTGCCCATCCGATCCAGGCAGAAGTTAAAGATTCCATGGATTTGATGGGAAGAAAAATGGAGGTAACGGTGGTGTGTTGGTCAGCATTTTCTCCTTCAGGAAAACAAGTCCAATGTTGAGTGCAAATACAGAACAGCTGCCATGTTTGTCTGCCTGCTCCTGCCTGGCTAGTCTCCATCTCAGTGCTTTGTAAAGCATTTCAAAATAATCAGTATGAAAGAGGTGCGCTGTAAAACTAGATTCTATTCTCTGGGCATCACAACTAGCCATTGCATAACCAAGTGCATTATAATGTGTGAGAATAAGTAGAGAAATCACAGGAGATGTATTTTAAAGAGAACAAATATAACATTAAGGCGAGCGAGTGAGCGAGAATAGAGTGCATTAAAGTTAATAAAGCATCGCAGGAGTGGGGACCACATTTCACTGTGAAGGAATCTAATTTAGCAACTTGTAATTGGAGGATAACAGTCCTGCTGGAATGAAGTTAGCTGTTCATTTTGCTGAACTCTTGAAGTGTCTCGGTCCTTCTTGTGAGCTTGTTCTCAGAAGGAGAATCCAGAAGAAAGGCTGGAATCGATTGATGATTCACACCCACAGTCCTTTCAGCCTTTAAGTGGATTTGGTTCCTTCTGTGAATATTTATTATCTGTTTATTAATTTCATAATATTAATGCAGCATGTGCACTCTCTGCCTGCCCTGGGCAAGAGAGACCAGGAAACTGAACTTAGGTCTCCTCCATATCAGGGCAGAAAACTAGCCTTCAGGTGACAATGCAAGCAGTACTGGCCTGTTAGCCACTGGCTCTGTTTAGGACAACAGAACATCTGAAGGAGGGCGGGTTGTACATTCTCTAAGGTCCTGCCAGTCTCATTACATCTGTTATGAATATCTATCTGTGTAACTGGTGAGGGGAGGAGATTTTGATAGGGGTATGCAAAATAATGAATGGTATAGACAGGTCCAGCAGGGTCCTGCTTTGAGCAGGGGGTTGGACTAGATGACCTCCTGAGGTCCCTTCCAACCCTGATATTCTATGATTCTATGATTTACTCTTTCCCACAATACCAGGGCAAGAGAGCAGCTGGTGCAGTTTAGAAGACATCCTGGTGTACGCCATGTTTGTTTAACCATTGCAGAATGGATCCTTGAGGTGAATAGCTTAATGAGATCAATAGGTTTGAAGAACAGTCTTCCATAACCTGAAATACATGCAACTGCTTGAGAAAGTGATGTGGATGTTTGGTCTGAGCATGGGACAGGGAACCAGGAACTCCTGTATTCTGATTCTGGCTGCTCCTGACTTCCTCTCTGGCCACAGGCTAGTCCAGAGCAAACCTCTCTGTGGTGGGAGGATTAGTTAGTTAAGGTTTGTAAAGTGCTAAATAAATGCTAAGGATTATTACGAGGAGACTGGATAAAGCCTATAAACTATACCGTAGAGAAGGGTCCTGCATAAGGATGGACTGATGACCTAATAGGACTCTTCCATTTCTAACTTCCATGATTTTTTAAAAAAAGAACAGACATTTGCAGGTTATAAATCATAGTAACATCTGTGGATACACTAGCTAGAAATGAAAATGTATGAGGTCTATTTATTATTGTGCTTCAGAGCAAAGAGGGTCACCACCTGGGATAGGAAGGAAAATCTCCCCCATACTAGAACAATATGTAAGTGGCCATGTGCACTGTTAACATTCGGCCCCCTCTTCCACCCCTTTTTTTAAATAAGTGAATTTAGCATGGGTGAAAGGGGCCCAAATGACAGTCTCACAGATTGAAGTCCTGTATTTATCCCCAAGGTAAGTGGATAATGGGCCATGGCAGTGTGCGCACACACTGCTCCTGCCAATACACCTCAGCCTTGACCTGGAAGGATTATACTGAGAGTTGAGAAGGGAGTTCTGAATCCATGACCTAAGTAGGCTTTGGACTCTTTGCTTATAGTACCTAAATGTGGGCAAACTGGTGCCAATTGTGTGATAATTGCTTTTGTGTTGGGGACCAGAGGTGAAAGTAAGACAGTCCGGTTTGGTCCGGCGTACCGGCAAGAGCTGGTATGCTGCGCCGGACCGGACCGGCTTCTCCGGTAGTGATTTAAAGGGCCCGGGCTCCCCACAGCGGCTGGAGCCCTAGGCCCTTTAAATCACCTGTGGAGCCCTGCCACCGCTACCCCAGCCCTAGCCTGAGCCCTGCTGCCCCCGGGTAGCAGCGGCAGGGCTCCCGCGGTGATTTAAAGGGCCCGGAGCTCCGCGGCAGCTGGAGTCCCGGGCCCTTTAATTCGCCCCTGTGCCCTGTGGCTCCTAGCTGCCTCTGCAGCTGGTAGCTCCGGGGTGATTTAAAGGCCCCGGGGCTTCCAGCCACACCCGGAGCCCCGGGACCTTTAAATCTTGAAAGGCCCTGCCTCTTCCTGTTGAGGCCACACCCCGCTCAGGACTCCAGCGTACCGGTAAGTCCTTTAAAGTACTTTCACCCCTGTTGGGGACACACATTTAGACATAGGACTGACATCTTCAGCTCATTTCGCATAGGTAACTGGATGTCAGTTAGAGGACAACAACTTTCAATCACTGTTGACTTGGGTCTGAGATGAAATGCAGGCTTACAGATAATGTGCTTTGTATTTTCTGGACAGTCCCTTAAGCCATCCAATTCCCCACCCCACCTTCCCCCCCCTCTGAATTTTCAAGTAAAGGCTGCTGTCAGATGACCTGATTCAAAACCAAGTGAAGTTATCACTTCAAAGGTTTTTTTTCTCCTGCTGCTGATAGCTCATCTCAATTGATTGGCCTCTTACAGTTGGCATGGCTACTCCCACCTTTTCACGTTCTCTGTATGTATAAATATCTTCTTGCTGTGTGTTCCATGCTATGCATCCGAAGAAGTGGGCTGTAGCCAACGAAAGCTTATGCTCAAATAAATTTGTTAGTCTCTAAGGTGCCACAAGTACTCCTGTTCTTTTTGCGGATACAGACTAACACGGCTGCTACTCTGAAACCTGAAGTTAATGGAGAGACTCCTGTTGATTGTGCTTTCGATCAGGTTCAGGGAGTGGATAACAGACAAGATGGACTAACTGTCTGATCCAGCAGGAGGTGGTCTAATGCAATGGCTGTCAGCCTTTCCAGACCACTGTACCCCTTTCAGGAGTCTGATTTGTCTTGTGTATCCTCAAGTTTCACCTCATTTAAAAACTACTTGCTTACAAAACCAGACATAAAAATGCAAAAGTGTCACAGCACACTGGGGGGAGGGATAACTTAGTGGTTTGAGCATTGGTCTGCTAAATCCAGGGTTGTGAGTTCAATTCTTGAGGGGGCCACTTAAGGATCTGGGGCAAAAATCAGTACTTGGTCCTGCTAGTGAAGGCAGGGGGCTGGATTCAATGACTTTTTGGGGTCCCTTCCAGTTCTAGGAGATAAGTATATCTCCATATATTATTATTATTATTATTATTAATAACAAATTGATGATTTTCTCATTTTTTACAATATAATTCTAAAATAAATCAATTGGAATATAAATATTGTACTTACATTTCAGTGTATAGTATATACAACAGTATAAA